AGCAAAGAAGGTCGATATTTGTTTATATTGTACTTACAAGGACTGTACATTTAACAAATATAATTGAGCACAGATATGTCAGTTGCTGTTACGGGTACAGAGGTACTCTATCATTGTGGGGGGTAGGATAATTTTTTTCCCTAGGGAAAAAGAAATATTCCTCAAATAAGAATAGGTTGAAATTGTCTACTTCATAAATAAAAGCTTTCATGTATTTTAACGTTGGATTTGACCTAGAACTTGGAGGAACAAGAACAAGCACACTTGGGCAAATCTACATAATTCTAATTGTGTCACTGTAAAAGAGTGTGTTAAGAAATCTAAAATAATTTGCATCCTAATTGTGTCACTGTAAAAAAATGTATTATATGTGGAAACCCAGTTTATGATTGATTTTTAAAAGGGATTGAATTAGATTATGAAAATTTTAAGTTCTTCATAAGAAGAAATTTTAGAAATAATCAAATACCATATAATATTTAAATTTTCTTGGAAACAGCAAATTTCAAAGTTGTTTTGATTTCCGGTGGCTGTACCCTTAGCATAACCAAAATCTCGAGATTGCAATCTTCGTTTCAAAACTTGGCATAGCCGGGCGCGGTGGCTCAAGCCTGTAATCCCAGCACTTTGGGAGGCCGAGGCGGGTGGATCACGAGGTCGAGAGATCGAGACCAGCCTGGTCAACATGGTGAAACCCCGTCTCTACTAAAAATACAAAAAATTAGCTGGGCATGGTGGTGCGTGCCTGTAATCCCAGCTACTCAGGAGGCTGAGGCAGGAGAATTGCCTGAACCCAGGAGGCGGAGGTTGCGGTGAGCCGAGATTGCGCCATTGCACTCCAGCCTGGACAACAAGAGCGAAACTCCGTCTCAAAAAAAAAAAAAAAAAAAAAAAAAAAAAAAAAAAAAAAAAAAAAAAAAAAAACTTGGCATAAATTGAGGAAAATTCTCTAACACTAAATTTTTATTTCTGATGTTCCTCATTTTTTTTACTTAATTGAATGTAAAATTTACTGTTTGATGGATTATTCAAAGAAAGAAAATTATTTTTAAATGTTATCCGGTAAGTATATTTTTAGTGCTATTACAATGGCATTATAACAAAACATCAAATAAAAATATAGATTTGCTTAAGAATATCTGTGTATTTCCCAAATAATGCTAAATATTTTAAATTTACCATCATGTTCTGTTTCAAAATATGTGCCCTACTTTGTTGAGCTGTAGGCTATATATATTCCTCTTATATTTCTACCAAGAGTATTTTTTTCCTTTTTTTTTTTTTTTTTTTTTTTGAGATGAAGTCTTGCTCTGTTTCCCAGGCTGGAGTGCAGTGGTGTGGTTTGGGTTCACTGCAACCTCCACCACCTGGGTTCAAGTAGTTCTTCTGCCTCAACCTCCCTAGTAGCTGGGATAACAGATGCCTACCACCACGCCTAGCTAATTTTTTTTTTTTTTTTTTTTTTTTTTTTTTTTGTATTTTAGTAAAGACTGGGTTTCACCGTGTTGGCCAGGCTGGTCTCGAACTCCTGACCTCAAGCAATCCATCCGTCTCGACTTTCCAAACTGCTGAGATTACAGGCATGAGCCACTGCACCCCACTCCTTTTTTTCAAACACCAAGTTGAACCAGATATCAAGTATATATATATTTTTTTTTTTATTGCATTTTAGGTTTTGGGGTACATGTGAAGAACATGCAAGATTGTTGCATAAGTACACACATGGCAGTGTGATTTGCTGCCTTCCTCCCCTTCACCTATATCTGGCATTTCTCCCCATGCTATCTCTCCCCAACTCCCCACCCACCACTGTCCTTCCTCCATTTTCCCCCAACAGACCCCAGTGTGTAGTGCTCCCCTCCCTGTGTCCATGTGTTCTCATTGTTCAACACCCGCCTGTGAGTGAGAACATGTGTTTGATTTTCTGCTCATCACGTATATTTTTTAAGATACACTCTTTATTGTAAAAGTAATACCTGCTAGTTCCTCATCTTCCTTGCCTTCCCATACTCCCATTTCCTCTTCTCTGCTTGCTGTTTTCCTAGGTATAGTTTTAGGCACTGCCTTTGCGCATACAACATGCATTTGTGCCATGTTTTTGTATGACTGCCTTTACACTAAAAGATAACACAGCTTAGATTACAGTCTACAATCTATTCTATGACTTGAAGTTTTCACTTAAGAGTATATGTCAGACATATTTTCATATTAACTTCAGACTCGCTCTGTCACGCAGGCTGGAGTGCAGTGGCACAATCTCGGCTCACCGCAACCTCTGCCTCCTGGATTCAAGCGATTCTCCTGCCTCAGCCTCCCCAGTAGCCACTGCACCTGACTAATTTTGTATTTTTAGTAGAGACGGGGTTTAGCCATGTCCAGGCTGGTCTTGAACTCCCGACCTCAGGTGATACACCTGCCTCGATCTCCCAAAGTGCTGGGATTACAGGCATGAGCCATGGCACCAGATAATATTAGCCTTATCCTTTTGACCAGTTGCTAAAGTCTCTTCTAAATAAATGTATCTTTTTTTCTATCAATGCGTGTACATTTGTCTTTGCTTACTAATGCAAATATTCTCGGTGAATAAACTCTTCACAGTGAAAATGCTGAGTCAACAGATGCTCATCTAAAGTTTTGATAGAAATTCTTTTTTTTTTTTTCTTAAGAATCACATGAAAGGCCATACATTTCCTAATTTTTCATTTTATTAGTCTGTTACATGTGGGCTTAAAGTCGATTTTAAAAGAAATGGGTATGAAGTGACTTCATTGGTCAAAAAGAAAAGAAAAATAAATGAGAAAATCCCAAGTCTCTTAAAAACCGTCTTCTTTCTGCCCGGCATGGTAGCTCACACTTGTAATCCCAGCACTTTGGAAGGCTGAGGCAGGTGGATCATTTGAGGTCAGGAGTTCGAGACCAGCCTGGCCAACATGGTGAAACCCCGTCTCTACTAAAAATACAAAATTAGCCAGGTGCGGTGGCTACTGGGGAGGCTGAGGCAGGAGAATCGCTTGAACCCAGGAGCCAGAGGTTGCAATGAGCTGAGATGGTGTCACTGCACTCCAGCCTGGGCAACAGAGTAAGACGCTGCCTCAAAAAAGAAAGGAAGTCTTCTTTCCAAAAGCCTTTCACTAACACATGAGTAACAACAAAAAATTAAATAAGCTGTTTGAGAATTAATGATTCATTTAAACTCAGCAGCAGTAGATCTTTCTCAGAAAAGTTAAACCATTTCTCCCCCTTTTATCCCATTTTAGGTCTTGCTTAAGTTATTCCTTAACAATGATGGAATAACTTGGACACAATGATCAAGATAACTAGGAACAATGATCAAGAATCTCTTTTTGACAAGATGTTTTTGCTGCAAGGACTCTTAAATAAACTAAGTTTAGCAGAGTGCTATATATGGAAGGTTATATTTATCTCCTCAGGAAAAAAAATCCTACATAAAAATATTTCAAAAATAATAATTAGTCATGAGCCCTAAAAGAATAATTGTTTAGTAATACTTCTCCTGCAAAAGCAGAAATCAGATTAAATATGATTCACTGAGACCAAGTACATTGTTTCCCTATCTTGTGTTCACGCTACCTGTGATTTATGATGTATGTTTAGATTGGGGATGCCACAGAGAATACATGAATCTACGGTATATAGTGATATCTTAGTTCAAAATGAATCCACAAAATAAATTACACAGAGACTATAGTTAAGCTCCAAATTATTTGGACAATAATTATAAATGATCTCATTGGTCTAGAAATCTGAAATGGTTTATAACTTATTAAATTATTGATAACTGAATCATTTAAAAGTAAATACTTAATGAAATTATTCCTTGGACATACACTTTAATAATGTCATTAAAACATGAATATTTTAATGTTTTTTTGAGATGGGGGTCTCAGTCACCCAGGTTGATTATAGTGCACTATAGCCGCATACTCCTGAGCTCAGGTGATTCTCCTGATTTAGACTCTGTTAGCTGGGACTACAGGTGTGCACAACAGTGCCTGGCCAAATATTTTAATTTTTAACTGCAAATCTATTTGCAGTTCAATATAGCTTTTATTATGCTTGGGAACCAAGCTGCGAATAAATAAAAAAATAAGATAATGAGAAACTTTATGTGGTAGGCTTAATAATGCCCTCCTGCCCCAAAGATGTTCATGTTCTACAAACCTGAAACTTGTGAATGTGTTACCTTAACTGGCAAAAGGGATTTCAAAGATGTGATGAAATTAAGTATTTTGAGATGAGAAGATTATCGTGGATTATCTCTGTAGTCTGAATGTAGAGGTCCTTATAAAAGAGAGGCAGTAGAGTCAGAGGAAGGGAAGGAGATGTGATAACAGAAGCAGGAGTCAGGATCTGGGTTCTGAAAGCTCAAAGCTGTTGGCTTCGAAGATGGAGAAGGAGACCACGAGAGCCAAGGAATGCAGTTATACACTGCAAGACAGACAAGACATTCTCCGGAGCTCAGAAGAAACACAGGCTTGCTGACACCTTGATTTTAGCCAAGTGAGATTTCTAATCTACATAATTGTAGATAATAAACTTGTGTTGTTTTAAGCCAGTGAATTTGGGGTAATACAGTAGCAATAGGAAACTGATGCATATTATACAATAGTTGGACATAACCCTGACAAAGCCGTAGTCAAATATCATCAATTTGTGGAGGAAAGATGACAGTATGGCATTATTTTAATGCCTACATCAGTTGAACCAGCTATTAGAGTTAAGAACAATTCTTAGAAAAGCATTCCATGTAGTCAGTCTGTTTTAAACAAATCCAATGTATGAAAATCATGTTATAAGGTAAATTGGAAAAGTTTACTTAGTTTAAATCTTTAAGTACATTTTATGTTTTCTATTTTTAAACTTTGTGCCTCCTGGAAAATAATAATTTTTTTTAAAAAGTAAGCATAACCGTTAGTTTCTTTCCAAATGCCTTTACGTTTTGAAGCAGTGATTACACCTTGCGGCATTACCCGGTTCAGCCGGCGCCTGGCTGGAGGGCGCCCGAGAGCCCGGAGCAGGGCGCCGGGAGGCCGGTGCAGGAGCGGGCGGAGTAGGAGGAAGTGGTCGGCAGCGCGGCGGGCGCCGGGCAATGGTGCTGCCTTGGTTGCTGCTTGGGACTGCACGCAGGGCGGTCCTCGGGTCAGTGGAGGCTGCGCTCTGCGGTGAGCTTGGTGGTCCCTGGGAAAAGAGAGAGCGCCTAACCTTGGACTTCAGGCAAGGGTTAACGTTGGTGGGGGAGCCATCAGTCTTGGCATCTGGGGATATAACCCCCATTTGCGGTTCTTGTTCCTTCAGATCTCGGGTTACAGGAACCTGGGGGCGCTCTGGGGACGCGGGGGCCGAGGTAAACATTGCTTCAGCGAACTCGTGTGGGAGGGCGTTTATACTGGTAATGGTGCTTGACTGAGCAATGGGTAAAGGTCAATTTGCGACTCAGAGGAGCGAGCAAGATGGTCAGTCCCTGCCAGCGAGAGTCGTAATGCCGATCCCAGCCTTGAGAGTTACATGTGTGACCCGCTGAGAGCAGCGCTTACCGCTTCATGAAACAGCCACCTAGAAGTATAACGTGTTAAAGCTGTAAAAGTACCACCCCTCATTTTACCGCTAAGCCAGCAGAAGCCAGAGAATTGAAGGTGGTTACCGGAGGCGCTGGGTCTAGAACTAAAAGCAGGCCTCCAGGCCCTTCTTTTCGCTTTGCATGCTGCCTCTCCTCCAGCACCAAATTTATCTGTGGATGCTGCTGCAGGGACCCAGCATTAACACAGCTTTCCCGCAGCCCCACCTACCATTCTATTTTAACTGTTGGTAAGTCCTCTGTAGTTTAAATTGTGCTTTTCTATGCAAATTTTCGGTTTTTCTTTTCTCCCCCCCCCCACCCCCGCTTAAGAAACAGAGTCTGGCTCAGTCTCCCCGGCTGGAATGCAGTGCTGTAATCACAGCTCACTGCAGCTTGGAACTCCTTGGCTCAAGCGATCCTCCTACCTCAGCTTGCAAGTAGCTAGGACTACAGGCGGAGGCCATAAGGCCCAGCTGATTTTGTTTTGTTTTATTTTTGTAGAGAGAGGGTTTTAGCTATGTTTCTCAGGCTGGTCTCAAACTCCTGGCCTCAAATGATCCTCCTGCCTCGGCCTCCCACAGTGTTGGAATTACAGGTGTGAGCTACTGCTCCTGGCCACAAATTGTTTTCTTTCACTTTTATTCAAGAATTATTTGATGGCTGTGGTGGCTCTTGCCAATAATCCTAGCACTTTGGGAGGCTGAGCTTTTTGAGTTCGGAAGTTCAAGACCAGCCAGGCCAACATTGCAAAACCCCATCTCTACAAAAAATTAGCTGCGCATGGTGGCACACAACTGTAGTCCCAGCTACTTGGTGGTGAGGCAGGAGGATCACTTGAGGCCAGGAGGCTGAGGCTGCAGTGAGCTGAGATCACATCACTGCACTCCAACCCAGGTGACAAAGTGAAACCCTGTCTTTAAAAAAAAGAATCATTTATTGAGCTGTGGGACTGGTGTGGTGGCTCACACCTATAATCTTAGCACTTTGGAGGCCAAGGCAGGAGGACTGCTTGACCCCAGGAATTCAAAACCACCCTGGGCTACATAGTGATACCCCATTTCTACTAAAAAAAAAAAAAGCTGGGCTACATAGTGATACCCCATCTCTACTAAAAAAAGAAAGAAAGAAAGAAAGAAAAAGCCCAGCATGGTAGCACACATATGTAGTCCCAGCTACCAGTGAGGCTGAGGTGGGAGGATTTGCTGGAGTCTGGGAGGTCCAGGATGCAGTGAGTCATGATTGCACCACTGCACTCCAGCCTGGGCCACAGAGCAAGACCTTGTCTCAAAAATGAGAAACCAATCATTTATTGAGCTAAACTGCCAGGCTTCCTGCTCGGGATATGGCCTCTGCAGCTCAGTTCACCCATTTCTAGGGAAAGCAGACACAAGTAATCACCACACACAGCGCAGTCGAGTGACACTGAATGGAAAGAACAACTGACTCTGAGTTCTAGAAAGTATTAGAAAAAGGTGCCTTTTTCACTTAAATAATTATGCTGTAATACAAAAATTAGCCAAGTGCCGGTAGTCCCAGCTACTGAGGAGACTCAAGTGGAAGGATTGCTTGAGCCTGGGAGATCATGCCACTGTACTTCAGTCTGGTCACCACAGCGAGACCCTGTCTCAAAATAAATAAATATACATGTAAGATTATGTTAGTATTACACGACTCTATCCTCATATTGAAACAAAACACAACATATGGCTCCTTTATATGTCCTCCCGCCCACACTCTTCTCCCCAGATATGGCTTGATACACATCCTTCTAAACACTTGCCTGTAAGTATACACAAATAAAAGTACATAAAAATACTGTATATACAGATGTGACCTGTGCATACTTTTCTGCAATTCAGAAACGGTATTCAGAAGCTTTCCATGACGGCACACGTAACTCGCTTTTAACTGCTGCGTGTATTCCACCATTAACCAGTCACCTATTGATGAACATTTTGATTTCCAATTTTTTGCTATTATAAAGTTGTTCAAGAACTATCACTGTACATGCCATTTGTGTGTTTGTATAACTATTTTACTAGAATAGATATCTAGATGCTAGGTTGTTAGATTAAAGGGGAGGTAGCAAGGGACATTTAACTGGGCCTTAAAGGAGAGTAAGAGTATTCCAAGGAGAGATGCCGGAGAAAGATGCGAGATCCATGGGCAGTGTTATAAATCATGAGGAAAGGTATAAATAGATATTGATTGATTGCACTGTATATGCATTTACCTTACTTAAATCTCATAGGTTTAAATGATAATATTACTATTTTACAAAGAAGAAACTAAGTCCTAAAAAGTTTAAGTAATTTCTCCAAGGTTATAGAGATAAGTGGGTAAGCCAGAATGTGAATCTAGGTTTATCTGACTCTAAAATCCCTCCTCTTTCCATTATAAAACTATTTAGAGCACACATATACTTTTGATCTCGCTGGAGGGCAGGGAAATTGGGGCCTAAGAGGAGGAACTGAGGGAGGAGTGGGTTTGGTAAGGGGTTGTTGAAAGGCATTAAGGAACATGCTAAGGAGCTGTCCTGTGATGTAATGCTGCAGTGACTATCCAGGTGAGGTTAGGTTTACTAATGTGGAAATCGAAAAACTAGAGGTTATTCAAAGATTAGGCCGAAAAGGTGAAAATCAGGTGAAGTCTATATTAGTCTTGAAAATCCCTCTAGAGAACCACACATTATCTCTCAGTAAATCCCAAACAGCCAGTTTTTCTTCAATATAGGAACAGATTAGTGTTTCTTTGAGCACAAGATCAAGTGGTTGATTTATAAGTGGAGGACATGCTGTACATAAAAACACACACTATTACCTTTAAATAATTAGTATGGAATAAAGGCTCATATCTATGAGAGGCTTAGGGGAGCTGAGACTCATCAAGGAAATGGGCTTACTTCAGGCTTTGCTCAATGAGTGGAAAAGCAAGAAGTCTAGTGTTCACTGGTTATTCTCCCATGCTCCACCTTCCAATAGGACCATAATTGAATTACAGAAAGTTAAATATAAGTTAGATGACTCTACAAGAAAAACGTTAAGTATCTTTTATCCAGTTAAAGATGTTACTTGCTGTGATTATCTTTCACAGTGGCTAAGAGTCAGAATCTTGAGTTTAACATAAATGATAAAATTACCATGGTTTTCCAGTTCCTAACAATGAGAAGCAGTAATGAACATTAATTCAGCCTGCTGGCCCTTTATATTCTGGGAATTCCCAAAACAGCTAGCTGGATGAGAAATAGTTTGATTCCAGGTTAAGATCTAATCTTGTAGACACAATGAATTTCTAGTTTTCAAATCTGAAGGGGATGAGGAAACCTATATTTTTATTTTTAAATTTTGTTTATTGTGATAAAATTTGTGTATTTGTGATTTTAATTATTTTGAATGTACAATTCAATAGCATTAATTACATTCAGTGTTGTGCAACCATCAACACTTTTTATTTCAGCACAAAAATTTTCATCACCCCAAACAAAAACTCGCCATTCCTCCTCCCTCCAACTCCTGACAACCTTTAACCTACTGCAGCCTCCATTTTGTGGGCCCAAATGATTGTCCTGCCTCAGCTTCCCTACTAACTGGGACAACAGGCATGTGCCAGGACATCTGGCTAATTTTTTAGAAAAGCTTAGTAGAGATGGAGGCTGACTGCGTTGCCCAGGCTGTCTCCTGGACTCAAGTGATCCTCTCACCTCAGCCTCCCAACATGTTGGGATTATAGGCGTAAGCCACTATGCCTGGCCTTATTTTCCTTTTTTTTTTTTTTCTCAAGACAGAGTCTCACTCTGTCACCAGGCTGGAGTGCAATGGGGTGATCTCAGCTCACTGCAACCTCCACCACCCAGGTTCAAGTAATTCTCCTGCCTCAGCCTCCCGAGTAGCTGGAATTACAGGTGCCTACCACCACGCCCAGCTAATGTTTGTATATTTAGTAAAGACAGGGTTTCACCATGTTGGCCATGATGGTCTTGAATTCCTGACCTTGTGATCTGCCTGCCTCAGCCTTCCAAAGTGCTGGGATTACAGGTGTAAGCCACTGCGCCCAGCCATTTTCCTTTCTTATAATGGTCATTTTGTTGTGAAATATGAACATTATTACTTCTTTTGCTATTTCATTTTAAAAATCTTTTGGATATTATTTTTAAAAAAATAATTTTAGACCTGTTGCAAAAGTAAGTTTCCTTTATTCTTGCCAACTTCATGTAGTATATAAACATCTTATATAGTGCAATTATTGAAACCAGGAAATTAATATTGCTATAATACTATTAACTAATCTGCAGACTTTATCTTTCTTGACATTGACACTTTTAAAGAGAGTACTAGTTATTTTGCAGATTTTTTTGTCTGAGGTTCTCTTCTAACTAGATTCAGTAAATGAATTTTTTTTTGCAAGAATACTAAGGAAATGATATTGTGCTCTTCTCAGGGTCTCATAACAGGAGGCACATATTGTCAACATGTCTTATTACTAGTGAAGTTATCTTTGAATAAATGGTTAAAGTGGTATCTTTCAGGTTTCTCCCTCTGTAATTAGTAAGTATCTCATGGGAAGATACTACCTCATTTGTCATCACACTTTCACCTCTAGATCTGTATCTATCAATGGTTCTTACCTAGAGTGTTTGCCTAATGATTTTCTGTTCCCATCATTCCTTCTATATGTATCAGTTGGAAAGTCCATATAAGGAAGATAATCCCTTTTCCCCATTTATTTGTTCTATTATGTCCTTATTATCAGTATGAACCCATGGATTTATTTTATGGGTTATTATCCAATACCATATTATGTTACAATTACAGCTAGCACGCTGTATCTGCAGATTCAACATCAAAGGATTCAGTCAACTAGAGAGAAAATATTCGGGAATAAAAACCCAAAGTAACAATACAACAACAACAACAATAACAAAAACAAAATACAGTATGACAACTATTTACATAGCATTTACAGTGTACAAAGGATTTTAAGTAAACCAGATGATTTAAAGTACACGGGAGATGTACATAAGTTATATGCAAATACTGTGCCATTTTATATAAGAGACTTGAGCATCCACAGACTTTGGTATACAAGGGAATACTGGAACCAATCCCCTTCAGCTATCAAAAGGCAACTATATTTAAGAGATAGAAACAGTGCCAGGCTGGGTGCAGTGGCTCATGCCTGTAATCCCAGCACTCTGGGAGGCCAAAGTGGGCGAATCACGGAGGTCAAGAGATCAAGACCACCTGGCCAACATGGTGAAACCTAGTCTCTACTAAAACACAAAAATTGACTGGTCATGGTGGCGAGCACCTGTAGTCTCAGCTGCTTGGGAGGCTGAGGCAGAAGAATTGCTTGGACCCAGGAGGCAGAGTTGCAGTGAGCTGAGATTGCGCCACTGCACTCCAGCCTGGCGACAGAGACTTTGTTTCAAAAAAAAAAAAAGGAAAAAAGAAACAGTGCCATTAAGTACTTACAAGTGTAGTATAAAATGTAAGGTCCCCACATGTAATGTATGGCTTAATATCTTTGCCTGCAAGAGGAAATGAAATTAAAATTTTCTTAATATTGTAACTTGGATTAAGATTTACAAATTATTTCTGTAATTCAGTTACCAGATGCTGAATGTATGTTTACAAGCTCCTCCCAATTAAAGGGCTTGGAAAGGGTACCATATGAAATTGACACAAGGCCAATATCAAATATTTAGGGCAGCACAGGCTGCATCCTAATGCTCAGAGTCAGGATACATGCATACATAGAAAAACTCCTTTCTCTTTTCTTTTTTCTTTCTTTTTTTTGAGAGTTTCACTCTTGTTGCCCAGGCTGGAGTGCAATGGTGCAATCTTGGCTCACTGCAACCTCTGCCTCCTGGGTTCAAGGGATTCTCCTCCTCAGCTTCCCAAGTAGCTGGGATTACAGATGCCCACTACCACGCCCGACCAATTTTTGTATTTTTAGTAGAGATGGGGTTTCATCATGTTGGTCAGGCTGGTCTTAAACTCCTGACCTCAGGTGATCCACCCACTTCTGTCTCTCAAAGTGCTGGATTACAGGAGTGAGCCACCATGCCTGGCCTTCTTTTTTTTTTTTTTGAGACAGGTTCTCACTGTGTCCTCCAGGTTGGAGTGCAGTGATGTGATCTTGGCTCACTGCAACTCCACCTCTCAGGCTCAAGAGATCTGCCCACTTTGGCCTCCCAAAGTGCTGGGATTACAGGCATGAGCCACCGTGCCTGGCTGAAAAATTATTTTCTATATTCTCGCAACACTTTTGACATCAGATATGTGAGTTTTCCAAAACCAAGCAATTTTCCAATTCTCTGTGGACACTAACTAGATGTTCTAAAATTTTATTTTGAACTAACTACCCAAAGTTAGCCCAGACTCCATAGGCTAAGGGCTCAGTCCCACAAGACTGTCCCTACCTCAGATGCCAGTCACAAGTCCAGGCTTCCCACACTTCTGACTAAGTAGCTGTAAATTGGGGGTTCCCTTGACCCCCTCCTTGGGTTTGATCCTTTGCTAGAACTGCTCAAAGAAGTCAGAGAAACACATTTATTGGTTTACTTTAAAGAATATGATAAAAAATACAGATAAACAGCCAGATGAAGAGGTACATAGTGGGAAGTCTGGAAGGGTCCCATGCACAGGAGCTTCTGTCCCCATGGAGTTGGAGTGTGCTATCCTCACAGCACTTGCAAGTGTTCACCAACCAGAAGCTCTCTGAACCGCATAGCTTAGAGATATTTATGGAAATTTCATCATGTAATCATCAGTTATTAACTCAGTCTTCAGCCACTCTTACCTCCTAGAGAATGAGAATGGGGCCGAGTTCCAAGCTTCTAATCATAGTTGGGTCTTTCTGGTGACCAGCCCCCATCCTGAAGCTGTCCAGGAGCCCACCAAGTCACTTCATTAGAACAAAAGAATCTCCTGTTATCCAGGACTTCCAAGGGATTTGGGAGTTCTGTGTCAGAAGGTGGAGTAAAAGACCAAATACATTAAAACAAAACATGCTTCTAGCACCACCCCCTGCCCCCATCACTCAGGAAATTTTAAGAGTTTTAGGAGCTCTTGTATCAGGAGCTAGGAGCAGAGACCAAATATATATTTATGATGTCACTATACAAAATACATAGCATACATAGTTTATTAAAGTAAAAAAAATTATTAACTGACTGGAAGTGGGAGAAAATTCTTTTAATCTATTCTTTCCAGCTATTAATAGTGATATTGAAATTGCCTAAATTTTATTTTTTCCAGGTTTAAAGTCAATAAAGAGAAACCACCACAATTTTTATACTGCTATTCCTAAAGATGTCACTTATAAAGAACTTAAAAACCTGTTGAATTCTAAAAATATTATGTTAATTGACGTTAGAGAGGCATGGGAAATTCTGGAGTATGGAAAAATCCCTGGATCTATCAATATACCATGTAAGTGACATGTGTCTTAAATTGATTTATTAAAAAACATACAATTGACTATATCTAAAATCTAATTGAAATTCTTGATATTTTCTTTCAGTGGATGAGGTAGGTGAGGCTCTACAGATGAACCCAAGAGACTTCAAAGAGAAGTACGATGAAGTAAAGCCATCCAAATCTGACAACCTAGTGTTTTCTTGTTTAGCCGGAGTGAGAAGCAAGAAGGCTCTGGACACAGCAATATCTCTGGGCTTTCACAGGTGTGTAGATGAAGGAAAAAATAGATTTATAAATGTGTAATGCAATGTTTCATATATATTACATTTTTATATGTTTAAGAATTTCTTGTAATTACTGTCAGTAAAGGCAGGATAGCAAAACTAAGAGCCTCTTTTCATCTAACTCAAAAGCAGCACAATTTTTTAAATAGGTGTGGAGTCTAAATTGTATGGTGAATAGCCATTGAATTATTTATCTCTAAATTTCCTATCAGTCTTCTGTTATAAAGTACTTCTGTTATAAAGCAGCTGAGCGTGGTGGCTGATGCCTGTAATCCCAGCACTTTGGGAGGCTGAGGCAGGAGGATCACAAGGTCAGATCGAGACCATCCTGGCCAACATGGTGAAACTAAAAACACAAAAAGTCTTTACTAAAAACACAAAAATTAGCTGGGCATGCTGGCGCATGCCTGTAGTTCCAGCTACTTGGGAGGCTGAGGCAGGAGAATCGCTTGAACCTGGGAGGCAGAGGTTGCAATGAGCCAAGATTGCACTACTGCACTCCAGCCTGGCAACACAGCAAGACTCCATCTCAAAAAAAAAAAAAAAAAAAAAAGTTTATAGCACTAACTATTTGATGTATGTTTTCAGTGCTCAACACTATGCCGGCGGATGGAAAGAATGGGTAACCTATGAATTTTCAGAGAAGAAACAAGGAAATTGAATTTTTGGAATACAAGTTGGCTCTTTCCTTGTGTACATGCAGCCAAGGATAGTGGAATGAGCAAGACAATAAAAATCTAGTCCTGGCACCACTAGTTATGGTAAGGGGATTGTTGTATAAGTCAATTAGTTGTTGAATCGTTTTCTCACCTGTAAATTGAAAAGGCCATTCTCCCCTGAGATAATGCATGTTACTTACCATGGAAATGTAAGGGTTGGGATTATAGGAATTAATTTTAAGTAGCTTAGTATTATTCACTAGTATTCTAAAAGACCAGATTACTTACATTATCTAATCACGTATGACATTTGTGTTAGTATTCCTTCCATTCAAAGAGGCTATGAGGTAGACCTGCAGATTAACACGCAGGTGTGACCTTAAAAAATCAATTAACCTATCCAGAGAAGTCGGTGAAATTTGAACAAGAAAAATACATTAATGGTTTCTAAAGACTTATAGCAGTGTTAGGACCAGCATGGTAATGATGAAATTTGCACTTTAAAAAACTAAAATTAATATGATTACTGTGGGTATTAATAATCAGAACAGTGGTTGCCGTTCTAGAGGGAAGAAGATTAAATGGAAAAGGCAAGGAGGAGCCAGTCATGGTGGTTCAGGCCTGTAGTCCCAGCACTTTGTGATGCTGAGGCAGGCGGATTGCTTGAGCTCAGAAGTTTGAGACCAGCCTGGGCAACATGGCAAACCCAGTCTCTACAAAAAAAAAAAAAAAAACCACACACAAAATTAGCCAGGTATGGTGGCATGTGCCTGTAGTCCCAGCTACTTGGGGGCTAAGGTGAGATAATCACTTGAGCACTGGAAGATCACTTAGTCCCAGCTACTTGGGACACTAAGGCAGGAGGATCACTTGAGTGCTGTAAGATCAAGCCACTGCACTCCAGGCTGGGTGACAGAGTGAGACCCTGTCTCAGAACAACAACAACAACAAAGTTGAGAGAAAAAAAAAAAGGCAAGAAGAGAACTTTCTAGGGTGATGGAAATGTTCTGTCTTGACTGATGAACTGATACCTCAATCAAGGTATAGGTATATACATTTGTCAAAACACATTGAGCACTTAAAAATGTACATATTCAATAAGTGATTGTACCTCAGTTTGTTTAAAAATAATGAAAACAGAAATGCCTAAATGTAAATGACTCCCACTAGCATGGGTATTCCTTTGGAATGTTAAGTCCTACACTTATTAGTATGCTAATGCACTGGTGGCAGAATAAACCTGTTTTGTCTTTTCTGTGCCTCTTTAGACCCACGTATCTTTAGACTCACTTATGCAGTCATTCTTGTAGTAACTATAAGGAGCTGTTTTTTCCTAAATGAGATGGAAGGCCATTGAAGAATCTGGGGTGGGATGCAATCTGATCACCTTGAACTTCTATTTCTGACAATATCAGAGATATATATATATATATATGTATCTATTTGTGTGTGTGTGTGTGTGTATGATCTGTTTGAAGGCATTAATTACTGAGGCAGCAAAGATCTGAAGAGCCATAATCTTAGGGAGAAGGAAAGTTGTAGATGATGAATCAACACTGAAGTACTGGGCCCATCAAGGAATAGGATTCTGGGTAAATACAGCAGGCTTTTAGTCAGAATTCCTGAAAGGCTATGCCCTAGAAGTAAAGGTGAACCAGAAATTCATAACCCCCACAAGAACTCAAAACAAGCTTTGAATTGATAAATCCCTGAATGAATTAAGGCGATTTTCCTAGTGTCTTAAGGGTCTACCAGAAGTAAATCCTCGCTGGAGAAACATATCATTATCTAGCTAGAGGAAAGGTTGCCGGTAATAAATCTTTTAGTCTTGTGGCCAATTAGGTTTCTGTTGCAACTGCTCAACTCAGCTGTTGTAGCACAAAAGCAGCCACAGACAATACATAAAGGAATGTGACTATTCCAGTAACTCTACTTACGCCACTTAGGTTTGAATTTTATGTTTCATTTATTGCCAAATATTATTCTTCATTTGATTATTTTTTAATCATTTGAACATACAGCAAACATTCTTAGCTTAAAGCCAGGCAAAAATAGGTAGCTGGTCAGATTTGGTCCATTCTTAGCTTAAAGCCAGACAAAAATAGGTAGCTGGTCAGATTTGGGGCATAATATGTAGACTTCTGAGCTGGAGCCACAAATTACCCTTACAGTTTTTCACATACAATTTCAGTATTCTATCAAAAATTACTAGGCACAGCTGTCAGCAGGACCTTATGATTGAGAAATAACAGGGAAAAACAAGACAAGAGAAACGGATCCACAGAAGATGAGTTTCCAGACAGACTTTAAAATAACTGTGATTAATATAGTCAGTAACTTAGATGACAAAATGAAAATAACAGTAACTGAACTTAAACACCCAATAGAAGGTAGCCAAAGCAGATCAGACACACCTGATGACAGGATTAGTGAAAATGGAAAAAAATCAGAGGTACATGTATTAACATGGATGACTCTTAAAATGTTGAGTGGAAAAAGCAAATTACAGAAACATATACTGTATAGTTTGCTTTTTGTTTTTCACTGTTACCCAGGTTGAAATGCAGTGGCAAGAGCATAGCTCATTGCAATCTACACCTCCTGGGCGGAAGCAATCCTCCCACCTCAGCCTCCAGAGTAGCTGGGACTATAGGCATGTACCATCACATCATGCCTGGGTAATTTTTTCACTTTCTGTAGAGACAGGGTACTACAGTACTTCTTGCCTGTGCCTCTTTAGACCCATGTATTTTTAGATTCATTCATGCAGTCACTATGTTGCCCAGGTTTGCCTCAAACTCCTATCCTCCACTAATCCTACTTCTGCCTCCCAAAGCACTGGGATTACAGGTATGAGCCACCATGTCTGGCCAGTATAGGTACATATATATATTTTATTGTGTTTTAGGTGCCAGTATAGTTTTTAAATATACAGAATATTACTATTATTTAGGCATGTAGACATATATAGTTTAAGTATAAATAAATTACAAAAATAATATCCAATTCTGAATGGTTTCCACTGGGGGAAGGGAGAGGGACCCAATAGGCTTTAACAGTACTGTTGACAATTTTACTTAATACGTTTGGTAGATAAGCACTTATTTTTGTCTTCTGTATGTATGGGACAGGAACTGTTATCCCCACTTGGCTACATTTGAACAAGACTGTACAATTATACCTTTGGACTCCTGGTACTCTTTTTAAGGAAAAAAACTGATAATGTATTTAACCAGATAAACAAAGGGTTAATAAATTAGAATAATGTATCTTCTATATTAGATCAAACTTAAGTTGTAAGTTATTCTGATATATTTAACAAATTTTGTGTGTGTGTTTGTGTGTGTGTGTGTGTTTTGAGACAGGGAGACAGGGTCTCAATCTTTGACCCAGGCTGGACTGCAGTGTTGGGATCTGGACATATTGTATTTTTTAAACTACACTGACTTAACACAAGAAATTGTTTTTTTTTTTTTTTTTGAGTCAGGGTCTCATTCTGTCACCTGGCTGGAGTGCAATGGCATGATTACAGCTCACTGCAGCTTGACCCCTGGGGTGACTCACATGATTCTCCTGCCTCAGCCTCCTGAGTAACTAGGACAACAGGCACACACCACCACACCCAGCTAATTTTTCTATTTTTTGTAGAAGTAGGGTTTCACCATGTTGCCCAGGCTGGTCTCAAACTCCTGGGTTCAAGCAATCACCCTGCCTTAGCCTCTCAAGTGCTGGGACTACAGGCGTGAGCCATAGCACCTGACCTTATGCAACAAAACTCTTACGAGTAAAACCATTATTAAAGTCTGTAGTATCAGAGACCTCAAAATGTGAATATATAAGCATATGATTTAATACAATGTTTAATAAATGTGTTTATTTCAATAATGGGAGAATATCACTTTTACTTGAATAATACAAGGGTAGATCAAAGTTTTAGATATGTATGAGAAAAGCCATATTATATTTTTAAATGCTGTATGTACTCTATATCACTTTCATAATGGAATAGAGGGAAGATGTCTTTTGGCAACAGTGGATAGCCTCAGAGTTCTGAATTAAAGTATCTTAGGTTTCTTTCATTCACATCATCTTTCTTCCCTGCTTATGATCTCAGGGGGGTTTCTTGGATTCTGTGATAATGTGCCCTTTTGCCATCTAATATGTATATGCCATAGAAATACTGGGTATTAGCTGGGCGTGGTGGTAGGCGCCTGTAATTCCAGCTACTCTGGAGGCTGAGACAGGGAATTTCTTGAACCTGGAAGGCAGAGGTTGCAGTAAGCTGAGATTGCACCACAGTACTCCAGCCATGGTGACAGAGCAAGATTCCGTCTCAAAAAGAAAAAAAATACTGGATAGAAGTGGGATCAGCAGCAAATCTATGAGAAATTTTATAGGATTCGACACAAAAAAATTGAATGCTTATCCTACTATCCAGTAAAAAATACTTTTCAGTGCCCCCCAAAATAGCACTTTATTAATGAAAAAATATAATTTTATCACCACCACTTTTTAATGCTACAAGGTTCTCCAGGAGCAAAGGATAAGAAGAAAAAAAGAGACATTTTAATAAGGTATTATTATAGTGGCAGAATGTGGTTGAAGTGAATTTAAATAAGGATAATGACAGTTCATCACAGTAAAGTTGTGAATATTAAATCAGATAATACATGTCAGAAATTTAATACTTTGCTGCTATTATTACTGTATGAATATGTACAGTAAGGGACCTGTTTGTAGGCAGCTGATATTTTGTTACTGTTTGCATTAATTGAACTTTAATGGGTAAAGATGGCAGGTGAAACTTCTAGCTCAACATCTGGGGACAGGAATAGCAGTGGACTCTTTACTGAAAATAAGAAGATAAAGTGAAACTCTTAATACTGAACTATGAGTTAGCTAGCTTCTTGCCTTTATTCTATTCTGAGATCTGATAGCCATCTCCTACTACCTGAGATAGATTCCTCTCCAGAAAAATTTAACCAACCTGAAGAAAAACCTTTAAAAAATCACGTTGGGGGTATGAGGCATGGCTAAGGAAAAAGCTTTGCTGTTCCCTTACCTACAATGAAGCTCACCACAGAAAAGTCCTGCCCATGCACACAAGAGATGTTCCAATTAGCTTTCTCTGTGTCTCTCAAATATGAAGGATCCCGAGAAAGTTACAGCCAAGATTCTAACTTGAAAGACTGACCAAACCAAATAGCAAAAAGTAACTTCAAGGAAATACAGGGTTGAATAGCCCTTATCTGAAACAGCTGAGACTAGAAGTGTCTCAAATTCTGAAATATCTGCTTGTATATAGATAACTTGGGGATGGGACCCAGTCTAAAGAAAATTCATTTATATTTCATGTACACTTAATACAAACAGCCTAAAGTTAATTTTATACAGTATTTGAAACTAATTGTGTATATGAAACAAAGTTTTGACTGTGACCTGTCACATAAAATCATATACGGAATTTTCTACTGTGGCATCATGTAGGCACTCAAGAAGTTTTAGATTTTGGAGAATTTTGGATTTCAGATTTTCATGTTATGGATGCTCAACCTGTAGTGTTAATGCAGGGAACAAAGAAAATTTTAAAACAACCAAAAAACCTAAATTAATATCCTTAGAATTATGAGAAGATAT